TATTGCACTTCAAATCATTCAATAACTTTTATAATATTTACATCCAAAACGTTTCGTTCTTACTCTATTGATTCACAACAAGCAAATCTAGGGAGTATCACAAATAAAACAAACATTTCCTCGCGTGCATTTAACTTCTACAGTGAGTAATTACATGTACTCCCGTTGGTTCTGAAAGTTTCACTTATTTTAGGCAACCCCCCCCCCCTGGCCAAAAACTCTTTCAAAATCATGCAGTTTTTCATAATTCTGACCATTTTTCGTGTGATTTTGGGTCAAATTTGCAAAATGAAGTCTTCGAATGAACATTCATTTGCCATGATAACCACCGAGATGCAATGGTCAACTTTTGCTTTTACGTTTAATTATAATCAACGCCTTCCCTAAATTTCTTGTTAGATCATGAATGCCTAACTTCACCAAGTATTTAAATTATATTTTGCGTTTTATCATCTTTCCCAAAAGCTACAATTCATGCATATGGTACAACTACTACTAACTGACTTTGGTTTATCATTCTTTTGTTGCAAATATGGGAATGTTTCAACGACTTCAATCTAGGGATTTATATAGACGGGACTTCCCCTTTTGATAATGTAATTATATATTTTTCTGTTTTGTAGGTTCCCGTGGGTAGGATACACACAAGAACAATATACGGCCCATCCTAAAGGGGTACAGACACAACAATGGCGTTCTTCAAGTTATAGCCGTGGAATTATATAGTTTATGCATCTTGCCTCAAGCGACGTGTTAAGTCTGACGTGATAACCCTAAAAAGGTTTATCCCATATTTGGTTTGAGAAACACAGTTGCTGAATACAAGTGCAAACTATGAAATAACCATAATATAACAATAGATAATGTTTGGCATGCATTGTGTTTCTGTTTCATTGTTTGTTAAATTAGTTGAAAGTATATACAAAGAAGTTAATCACCAGGAGGGATTTCATATGGGGAATATCACATGATATGAATATATCCCGAGGGAACGCAGTGACAGAGGGAAATATTGATATCATCCGAGGGATATTCTCAATATCATCCCGACAGGTGAATAACGACCTTATACCATGATCAAGAGCAAAATATATCTAAAATCCTCTTTTGAATGAGAAAAAATGTTTGAAAAAATTTGAATTTTTGTTTTTGAAAAATGAAATTTTTTAATAATACCCGGGTTGATATCCATATCATCCCTCTAATCCCAATATCATCCATATCCTAAATATATGATTTATCACTTGCTATTGAATACTGAGATATTGCTCTGACCATGGTATAAAAAGAATAACTTATCATAAGCAGATTTCTTTTCAGGGTGTTCAGCGGCGATGTAGGACTGGAAATAAGCGTCACACACCCCGGACGCACATTTCCTCGGATATTAGATCAAATAAGCAGTTATTCCTGTTTGCATGTTTTACTTTTGATTTGATTTGATTGTTTAAATTAGATAAAGTCTAATTTAAGTTCTAATTTAAATTAGATAAAATGCGTTCAAATGTCACCAGTGTCTGGAGGGTTGAGACTTGATTTAGGAATTAAATTAGAATAAGATTTTTTACTATCTGATTTGTTTCCATCATTGTATAACGTTGATGTCATTGATTTATTTTCTAAACCATTTTCTGTTTTGTTGCATGAGTTACTATCTTGATTTCTGTTAAAATAGATAATGCGTTGCAACCATTTAAATCCTTTTATATATCCTTTTTATATCCTTTTTTGCTTGTAACCATATTAATTAATGAGCATATGTTTAGAGGGGCATGCCGTTTTATTTTGCCATCTACATTTTACATCATCAGCCGTATCTTGATATGTTGAGAATTCTTCAGAGACAACTCATAGACACTATCATGGACCGACTACTTTCTTTAAAGTATAAGCTGCGGCCTTCTTGCCAAGGGGATTTTTTATTTGACAACTATGAAATTAGACTGATAAAGGCAGAACCAGATCTTTTAATAGGGGTGACAAATTGCAAGCAAAATGTACAAGTGACAACTAACCGATCAATTTATTCCTTTCAAATTTTTAAAAATAAACATGACAAGGATCGGAATGGTATAAGCAAAAAATATTCAAAAATTCTTGTTAAGTCTCGGAGTTTGCTTGCTGAATCTGATTTTCCCCTTAATTAATGAGCATAGGTTTTTATGTTTGTTTCTTTGTTTTTATTTCTTATTTGACAAGTCACATGCATGATGGGTTTATTTTACGCGTTTATTTTGCCATCTACATTTAATATTGTTATCTGTCTTGATAAGATATCTCCGAGAAACTATCATGGACTGGCTACATTATTCATAATCTGCTTTTGCCGAGGGGGGGGGGGGGCTCAGCCCCGTCAGAAACTTTTCTTCAAGGGTGTGTGGTTTTACCCCCCCCCCCTTGGGCTTGATCCGTTTCTATTTTCATACCCAACATGGACTGCGTGTGTGCGTGATTGGAGGGTTTGGTATAATGGGCTTCTAGAGGGGTACTTGGCAGTCAGAAATTGTTTACGCCACCCCTTCCCTCTATCAAATGAACTATGCATGTAGATTCCTCACATGCATAGAACTATGCTTTATGTGCTTTATGTGCATTGCAATAATATCAAAATCAGAATTACTTGTTTTCTAGTAACATTCAACAAAAAAAACGCTCAACTAATTGAGACGTTTGATTACTTAATCCAGCGACCATTTCCCGTCATTACATTGCAATGGTATGGTGGCCAGAGGAAATGAGCCTGTATTGATATGTGATTATGGATTAAAGTGAGTTACTAAGTAAGTGGAAAAGCAACTTTGAGAAATCTTAATTATTTGATACCATTCGCACAGACATTCAATAGGCTAGTTTTTTTTATTCATTTCATTCCTATCCAACAGCAATCATCCATGACTTTTGATAAAGAGTGAAATCAACTGTTCAGGCTTCATGATCTTGTGAAACTTCAAGAAGGGAACTTAATTTACATCTGTTTTACTGGTTCAATTTGAATATTCAACTAAGGTTTTATCTCCATTATAGATCTAGGAACTGTTTGGGATGCGGGTTTGGGGTCTTATATCTATGTCACCACCACAAGTAGAAACATTTGTCTCCAACTTTTTTTGTGAACGATGTTTGGCGGTTGGTGTTCGGCGTTCGGCATCTGCAACAAAATGTTATCACACAGGCAGATCAATAGTACTTTGATTAACGATTATTATGGTTATACTTGTAGTGTCATCTTGTAGTATCATGGGAACCAAGGAAACTTGCATGGTATTGATAATCCTAAAAAAAACTTTTAACCCAGGCCCGTAGCCAGGGGGGGTTCGGGGGGTTCGGGCGAACCCCCCCCGTGGCCAAAATTTCTTTCAAAATCATGCAGTTTTTCACCATTCTGACTATTTTTTGAGTGATTTTTGGCCAAATTTGCCAAAGTGAACCCCCCCCCCTAGAATTTTTTGGAAAAGTAAACCCCCCCTTGGAAAATTCTGGCTACGGGCCTGTAACCCATATAATAATAAGCCTTTTGATAGCAGTTTGATTTTTCATCGAACATAATTGCAATCAACTCGATGATATTTGGAAAGAGCAAATATTTTGAAAGCAAGTGTAATCAAGTTTCGAGATTTCTGATAAAGTTCAATCAAGCTTTGACGAAATTAACTTCATTTCCCCATTGCATTGTATCCCCAGAAAATTAAACAGGTGGAGGCATTATACTGTTTTTAATTTCAAATTGATATCATATTACGCCTTTAATGTAGGCCGAGACCATCGTAACTAATTATCCTCAATTTTCTTATTCTTATTATTTAAAATGCAACTGTATTCTAGGATCCATTTCTGCACTTTATTGTGTTCAGTACTATGCAAAGGCGTAACCATGGGAACGGGTGCGACCCCGATAACCAATGAAAATAGAACCATTGGATAGAAGAGGAAAATAGCTTTAAAATGCTCTTTATTGAAAGCGTCTAGCTCAATTTTGAAGGCAGTTGCATCAATTTTTGTAAAACTCAAAACTAATCTTCGAAAAATTTGTTTTTGCCTTGCTTATGCCAAGATCGCCCCCCCCCCCCCCTGGGTAACCTGACTGACTGAAAGCTG